TTCCTTTTGTGTTACTAACATGTTCATGGTTTGTATAAACTTTCAAGATGGCTGGAGTGCTCACTTCCTCTTGGCACACTTTGTTGCTTTTAATTAATTAATCAAATATTGATTTAGTTAGTTGATTTTGATATTAAAAATTAATTAGTTTTGCTAATTAATTTTTCTTAACCTGATTAATTAAGTTAATCAATTCTTGATTAATTGATTAAACATTTACTTCATGTTTCATTTGTTCATCTAGCTTTTATGCATGACTACGACCATTTGGATTGGAGTTATTATTTCATATGAGGCATTTGGATCATTTCTCTGTTATCTGGGTTTTGTCTCTCTGTGCAGTTTTTCATCTGATGCAGGAATTCTTATTTGATACCTTGGGCTTTTCTGATGAACTTTCAGCTTGTGATTTATTTTCACTTTATGCTTGGTACACTATTGATTTATTCTTTGCTTGTATGTCATTTCCAATTGATACTTTGGTCTTGTTTGCTACCACCTTTTCGTATCTTTGTGGTGAACAAAGTGTCACCCAGTCTTACACCATAGCTGATATCACGACATCGTTCTATTGTTTATTTTATTGTGAACGAAGAGTCACTCAGTCTTGCACCATAGCTGAGATCATGACATCGTTCTTTTGTTTATTTTATTATGAAAGAAGAGTCACTCAGTCTTGCACCGTAGCTGAGATCACAATATTATTCTTTTATTTGTTTTGTTGTGAACAAAGAGTCACTCAGTCTTGCTCCATATCTGAGATCACGACATCATTTTTTTTGTTTTATTGTGAGCAAAGAGTCACTCAATCTTGTTCCATAGTTGAGATCACGACATTATTCTTTTTGTTTCTTTGTCGATTGCTTATTATCACCTGTACCATTAGGATTTTGATTCTATCTTGTTCAAGATGTGAATCAAATAGACTTTAGGTTCTAAACCGAGCATGATAACACTAGGTAGAAATTCCCTCAATTCTCGCCCTTAGGTCCATGATGCATGTTAACTTTTAGGTAGACATCCCTTTGATATCCTAGATTTAGGACCATATTGCATGACAACATTAGGATTTGAGTTTCCCCTTAGATTTTTGTTTTCCCTTTTACATTGCATTTTAAACTAAAACTTATTTTTCTTTAACAAAAACTCAAAACATTCTAACAATACTCAAACACTTTCATAAAGTAAAGGGGAAGTACTCAGATATCTCTGACCTTGGAGGACCATCTAAGGTATTCTCCTACCAAAAAGACTCAACCAATCAAATCTCTTTTACCTTCGGGCTTTTCTTTTAAAAATATTTTCGTAAAAAGGACATGTCATTTCCATTCCGCTTAATATGACGCAGAAGTCTCCAAAGATCGAGCGAAAAATGTCAACTACTAGAATATGAATGTAACATCGTCCGGTTAAAAAACACAAACAAAGCAATTCTTTTTCAGAAGAACTACGGTGCTCTGATTCCCTTTTGTACGACGGGGATACGTAGGCACGAGGTTTCAAAACCGAGGCGAGCGCAATAATAATAAAAATTCTTTTTCCCTAAGCAACTCATTCATGCATTCCCTTAATTTGTAAGCATTAGATATATACACCCTTTGATTAGAGCGACTAGAGTAGATCATGTGGAGTACCACAAACATGAGGGGTGTTAATACCTTCCCCCTGTGTAACTGGATTCCGTACCATGTTCTTTGTTGCGAGACCTTGTTCTTGCTTACTTGAGTTTTACTCGATGTTTTTCTTTCCCCTGATGGAATAAATAACATTCGATGGCGACTCTGTTTGCGTCAGTATTTTTTGCAGTAACAACAATAGTCTTAGCATCTAAAAAAACACACATGAGCATCAAACAACTGGTTAAAAAAATCAAAACTTTATCATTAATACATAACATATAAAGTTTTAAGGTAAATGAGAACCATATCATTTCAGGAAGAAACAAATCCCAAACAATAGCAACATCATTTCAAAAACAAATGTATGATGCATAAAGAAAATGCTTGTATTAAATAAAAAAAAAGTTAAAAATACACACGTATTTCAAAAGTTGATAAAAATCAAAACTTTCCACAATCGGAACATATATTAGTTTGTTAGGTGACTGGTAAGCGAACGAAAAAGACAAGAGAATAAACATCAGTTTCTCAGTTCCACAATGGATTGTAGAAGTAGTTGAGAAAATAGAAAAGTTTGAATAAGGTAACACACCAGTTCGATTTTTAAAGGCTGATGATTGCTTTAATAGAAAAAACAAATCACAATAAATTTTGAAACATCACAACAGAAGAGGATGAAAGTGAAAATACAGCTCTTACCCGTGTAAAAGGCGGTTGGAAAGAGAAGACGAAGAAGAAACTACTAAGTGTTGGGTTTGCTGGGAACATTTGAAGAGAGATTGAAGAAGAGTGTTCTGAAAATAAAATATGAAGAATGAGAGAGAAAGGTCTTGAAAAGTGTAATGAATGTTTTGAAATGGTGTACGGAATTGTCTACTGGATAAAGCATCTTTTCAGCCAATATCCAATAGAAATATTGAAAAATATGTGCCACTTAGATGAATTGGACAAGATCATTGGCCTAATTTTCCTTGAATTAGCGAGTTACTATTAGACTATGTTCAATGGTTTACAAATTTAACACCCTCTTTTTTCACTTTTTATACTCCACATCATCTTAGACCAATAATTCAACACACATTTAACTTTTACTCATTACAATGACTTTATTTAATAAAATTCAACATTCTATCCGACCACTTTTATTTCATATTCTTATTTTCTTATATATTTTTTATGTTGAAAAGTCGATTTTTTTCCGTGTCTAAATCAAATGAATCCAATATCTATGTATAGACAAAAAAATGATGAGTTTTAGTGAAAATAAGAAAAAAATAAAAAAATATTGATTTACTATAAAATAATTGACCCCAAATAACTAGGATGAGATCAAAATCTAAAAAGTCACAACAACCGATAAGATTTTGCCATATATTTTACATGGTCTCAATCTCTCATCATTCAATATATTAAATTTTTTTAACCATAATTAATACACCTCGTTTTCAACACTCTATTCAACAACCCATTACAATCGTTAAACTATTTAATAATCTTTTCTCTTAAGGGTTTATTGTAGTATAAAACTATTTTCATTGGAAGGGTAGTTTAGGGAGTTCCTAAGCATGTCTTAAAACTTTAGTTAGGTACTTTGGTTGATGCACATAAAGTAAGCAGTAAATTCCCATTTGCTTGCGTTGATTAATCGTCAGTGATTATGTATCTTATCCATTATTTAGAGATTAATTAACATTAGTCAACCATATTAGGTGCATTAATTCACAATATGCATCAACTTGGTCAAATTTTTGAAGGGTTGACCCAGCTTACTAACTTTTGATTATAAATAATGTACTAGGTACAGTAAATTCTAATCAAAGTCAATCACTTTCATTTTCTCTTCCACATTGTTATACTTCATCATCATCAAGCACTAAGAACAAGATACAAATAAAAACTAAGAAGAAAGCAGTGAAGCATTCAATGAAGAAACTGAAAGAGGTGATAGGAAAAATGAAGGACAAAGCATCACAAAGCAAAGCTGCAATTTTATCGAAACAAAAAACTCTTTCTCTCTTACGCGCCACAACCCACGACTCTTTTGCCCCTCCGACACACAAACACCTTAGCACCCTTCTCTCCTCTGGCGACGGTTCACGCGCCACCGCATCTACCGCCGTTGAGCTTCTCATGGACCGCCTCCAAACGACTCACAACTCAGCTGTGGCTCTTAAATGCTTAATCGCCGTTCACCATATTATCAAACGTGGCACGTTCATTCTCCGTGACCAGCTTTCTGTTTACCCTTACACCGGTGGTAGAAACTATCTCAACCTCTCTAACTTCCGTGATAAAACAAGTTCGATCTCATGGGAACTCTCTTCTTGGGTTCGATGGTACGCGGAATATATAGAACACCTTCTGTGTGCTTCTAGAACACTCGGTTACTTTCTCCGGGAAACGACAACGGTTAAGGAGACGCATGAGGAAAGAGTTTCGAGTCTTGTGAGTGGTGATCTGTTGAGAGAAATAGATTCTCTGGTGGCGATGATGGAAGGGATTGGGAAAAGACCAAATATTCCAACAATGGAACAGAAGAACAAGGTGGTTGTTGAGATAATGGATTTGGTGGAAGATGATGAAGTTGTGGTTGTGAATGAAGTTTTGGTTAGAGTTAAGGAATTTGGGGAGAGGGAGAGATTGGGTTCTCTTGGGTTTGGAGAAGTTGTGGAGTTGGTTTGTGTTTTGAAGAGATTGGAGATGTGTAGAGAGAGAATGGTGATGGTGATGGAGGAGAAGAGGTTTTGGAATTTGGTGATAGAATTGAAGGAAAAGGTTGGGAAGATGAAGGTGTATAGGGATGAAGGGAAGGTTTACAGAACGGTGGGAAAAGACAGAGGAACTGAGTCTGTTCGGTTTTGATTTCATTCTCCTTCTTTCTTTTATGTTGGAATTGTTGTGTATAGATAGTAGAAATAGGTTCTAATGTTTTGTTTGCTGAACTTCTTTCTTTTAAGTAGATATTTTAGATAGTAGAAATTGATGTAGGAATTCACAATGTTGCATGATAGAAGGTTTTGGTTGAAGTTGAAGCTGAAGAATGTGCACTTGATATTTGTTAAATTCTGAAGGTTGGGAAGATTAAACAACTTAACAACCTTTTCTTTCTTAAGCAATAATAAGCTTGTAAATTTCGTGTAATTGTTCTGTTTGCGAAATTGAATCCTCTAACAAATTATAATTAATGACTATCTAATATATAACTCCACATACATCTTATTATAGGTTCATAATGAGTTACAGATAACATTCATCATACATATGAAGCACCATTTATTATATGGGCATGATCTTATTACAACAAGAAAAAAGAAAATAAAGCACACCATTTATTATAGTACTGGTTGGATTCAGAGGTGGTAATATCAGTAACCAAGCATATTAAACTCCTTTTAGTGTCCAGTTGGCTTTTTTTGTTCCATGACCACGAGGATTATTCATGCTATTGTTGTATCCATATGGATTGGCCTGATAAACATCTCCTCCATATGTTCCACGCCTCTCATATCTCACTTCATCCTTCTTCGTCGTGCCAGAACCGACATGCTCCTCCTTGTAAACCTCATACTCATGTTCTGACACATAATCGTTGTGGCCACCACCATGTTTGAATGGCTTTACACTGCTACCATGATGAGGTGAGTGATTAGTGGTAGCACCAAAAGGGAACATTTGGCCATTGCCATGACCATGCTTATTATCATAGTCATGACCATGGCCATGAGGCTTGCTGTCCTGATAATACATATTGTGGTTAGAGTCATGGCCGTGATGTTTTGGCATCGAGTAATCAGAATCATTGTCATAACCAGGTTTCATGCCTGGATATTGTTGTGTCTGTGGATATCCATGGCTCTGTAACTGTTGAGCCTTTGTTTCCATCCACGAGCTATCATCACCATAGTATTGCTGTTGTGGGTATCCGTGGATCTTTCTGCTTTGCATCTTGTTGGAGAAAGGGAAAGTAACAATTCACACAAGTTTTGGTGATAGCTGCTTGAATGATGAAGTTGTTGTGTTCTTGGATGCCCCTTATATAGGCATTCTATTAACATCATAATATTATCAGAATCTAACTTTCCAAATACGAAGAGAGCGAAACAAATATTTAATGTAATGAGATAAGAATAAATCATAAAGTATATAAAATAATGCGCATTACTATAATTTATATTAGATGGATTATTTAATGTTGTTTCTGACAGAGTTAGTTAGTACATTATACTCCTCTCTGAATCAAGAGTTATTCTGTAAAAAATATCTAATTTATAATTAAAAAAATGAATATTACTTCTAACTAATCATGTTGATCCTCAAAATATATATATAATATATATATATATATATATATATATATATATATATATATATATATATATATATATATATATATATATATATATATATATATATATATATATATATATATATATATATATATATATATATATATATATATATATATATATATATATATTATTGGGCTTATACCCTTGTATAATACATTTTTTATTTAATAATAATAAATTTCTCAATGCACTCTTAGTGGTGCTCACGCACCCTACTAAAAAACAAATAATACCTCTAAAATCTGAAACATAATCTCCAGACGTCCCAAATATGCAATTAAAGTCAGGTCTCAGACCCAAGCCAAAACATAGATAAAAATATGAAGGTTAAGCTCCGTACTTTTACGGAGGTTAAGTTTTGTACGCGTTTGACTCTTATAACGCGCCAGATCTTCCTTTTTCCTTCTTCATTTCATTTCAGAAAGTTTACTCAGAACCCAAAACAGAGCTTGCGAGCAAACTCCATTTCTATCATTTTTCAAACTTTCTTGCGACTTCTATTGCATTGCGTTTAAGCCTAGGACATCAATCAGCCTCTACTCCACTCCATTCGATCGAAAATCGTCGACTTTTCACATTCGGTAAGTTTCTCATTTTCTTTTTCTTTTTTGTTTTGTGATGCATTAGTTTAAAGTTAAACGCATAATAGGTTGTTTAGTGAGCCATGCATGTAGATTTTTTGAAGTTTGAGGTTATAGCATTTGTGCATGCTCTAATTTATGTTTATTTTCTGATTTTAGGAGGATACATAAGTTAACTTTCGAGTTTTGTTATTATGCATTGTGGAAGTTAACTTCCACATTTTGTTGTTCTATATTGTTTTTATTTTATTTTACACGATATATCCCCTGAGTTTGACTTATCTGATTATGATATGATTTTTTTTGGGTGTAATTATAGGTAAAATGTTTTTGACAATATAGACAAATTGAGGCATGGTAGAGTGGCTCACGCTATTACGGAAAACACCTTTCGTAAAATAATATTACAATAACCTCCTTGTTAACTCTGGTAATATCTCGTTTTTGAGTGCTTTCTTTTGGTATTTACTAAAAGATAGTTTACTACGGTCTTTGTTAAAATCAGTTGTGAAATGCACCAGGAGTTACAGGGTTCGAATCACGTCTCCTTCAATTTCCAATTTTATCGTCACAAAAGGGAATGTCTTTATATATCACAATGGTTCTTTTAGTCAATCGTGATGTAGTGTTCAATCATTTCATCACGGTTCGTCTTATAAACCGTGATGAAAAATGATATTTATTTATATATAAGCGAAATTAACTCTCACTCACTATATAACAACCGTTTCTCTCAAAAGAAAATCCTAACATATTTCACTATTCTCTCTCAAAACATAACCCTAACATCCATGACACTCATCACACATACAACAAGCTTCAGATTCATCTTCACCAAATCAATACAGCTATATCGTCTTCACAAATGACTACCTTCAAGTTCGTTCATTAAGCTTATGCCCCGATTTCGTTTATGGTTTTGTTTTTCCATTATTGTTTAGTTTTTGTTTATTGTTTGTTTCAAACCCTAACATATAATGTTTAAATTTTAGCTATTATTTTTGTTTCAAACCCTAAGATTTAATGTTCTGACTTGTTTATTTTTCTGCTTGTTCTTACTTGTAGGTATGGTTGGATGGACGAAACAAACTAGCGAGGATTAAGCTAAAGTGATCGCAACAAACTTGTGTGAGCGCTGCAAAACACATGTTTACTGCTCTCACTTCAGCTTCATCCTCCTTTCATTTTGGATTCCATTATTGGATAGGTATGTTCTATGTTGTTTAAGGGTTTGTTATTGATGAATGTTGTTGTTAATATTTGTTTTAGATGACTTTATTATATCTTATGTGGTTTACTTATTTTTCCAACATCTTACCGAATATATAACTTTTCGGATTGCATTAAAAAATTATAATATGATAGATAAAGTTATATTTGAAAACAAGTTACACGTTCAATTCTAGACAAGAATCCTTCCATTATCTGCATTTTGTTCTTTAACAGTGAGAATTTGGTTTAATGCTTCTTATTTTTAAACCTCTCATTCCTTCACCCCTAATTTAGTTTGCAATGTAAATAATATGCTGCAAAATGAACTAGAGGTGAAGGAAGAGGGGTTGAAGAACTAGAAGCATCAAAACCAAGTTATCACTATTAGAGAACAAAATACAGATAAAGAGCTGAAGAATTCTTGTCTAACATTGAACGTGTAATTTGTTCTTCTAATATAACTTTATTTGTTATATTATAATGTTCTAGATCAGAACGAAAGCTTATATGTTTAATGAGCATTGACAAAATGAGTATTCCATATAATTTATAATAAACTCAGTGTATATATCACAACAGTTGTTTAGAAAATCCGTAGTTAAATGCTTTTATTTAAATTATATCACAACGGTTATTTGGAAAAACTATTGTGGTTGGTAGCATGTTACTTGACATATCATCACGGGTGCGAGCGTGGTAGAAATCATAATACATACAACCACCTATTACCTTACAATGGTTGGTAATCCGTTATGATATCCCTTTTACAGCTATTATGGTATCTCTTTTCCGTAATAGTGCCAACATGCTTCAGTTCAAAGGGAATGAGCTAGACCATTTCGTCTAGCCATTGGTGTCACTTCATTTGATGTTGAAGCATAATCTTCCAAAGTTCATGTGTCTTCAGCATCCTCCTCCCGGAGACATGATTCCTTTGCTGCTTGGCCCTGATGCTCTAGAAGTCCAATATGTTACTGTCGTTCCTTATGTTGTTCCAGGATGTCTCTTAGACACTTTACTAATTTGTATGTATGAAAACCATGTTGCCAAGCACGTGTGAGATGAAGATGTAAAATAAATATGTATTTATTCTTTTAAACATACATGTCATAAGATTTTAACATTAGGACCTTCATTTATTTATTTACATGTTGATGTGTCATCCCTCCTACATCTTTCAATCAATTGGAAGATTATTAAACTACTCCAGACTCACTAGACCTAACACACTAGACATGACGGTGCCATATTTAAAAGCTGACCTGGCTGATGCCCAACAAGAGATAAATGAAATTAGAGGATATCATGCCAAGTTTAGATTTCTTGAGTGGTTATATAGGTACCACCTTGATGTGACAGTTGAGGCTGATGGTGATGATGCACGCATAACACATCATAAAGTATGTGAAATGAGTCCGTACCTCTTGTATCTGGTTGACACGTCCATAATGACAAAAGTGCATACTATGTCGATGTCGTCTACCTGAGGTACTTCATTGACCTGAAGATGATTCATGAGTATAACTTGGGGGCCTTTTGTTTTGTTTACCTCTACTTCAAGTTAGGTAAAGCTTGTTTATATAAAACTATACATATAACAACAAGCAACACCTTATTTACGGTAATATATTTGCACATTTATTGTTACTAATATTTCATAACACTTGTGTTACGCTGTTACTAATATTTCATCTGAGCTCTTTTTAGGCATGGATCCTCAAACACTTTCCATGTCTCTCTAGTTGGGCATATTTAGATGACTACATCAAGGCTTTTCCACATGCTTTCTCTTTCATCTCTCTCAGAGGGAATCAAACGGACTATCTATTACGAGTTTATCTTAAGCACATTGTAGAATATAATATAAAATTCACATCGCACAAAGATCAGCGTGAGACACGCCCCTTCGATGAGATATCATTCTACTCCATATTGATGGCTTGTGGGTCACGACTGGTGTATCAACTTTTACATGTGTGAGTCATGCACCAATTTGGGTATCTTCAGAGTACTTGTAGAGCCCCCATTGTTGCTCCTCTTCCCACACCCCCTCACAGAGAGGTTGGTGAGATATTTATGAAGTACCATGATCATCTGGTCCTAGAGGACGTATGTAGTGTTCCAACTCCTCAATCATGGAATACTTCATTCATTCATATCCAATGGTTTTTCAGAGTGTGACATTCTCGCATGACACCAGATATAGAGAGAGAGCCACATGGGCCAGCTCATAACAAGGTATTAGAAGAGAAACATGTTACGACAGATCATGTCCTTGATGTTTTGCAAATATATCAGTGTATTGTAGCTATAGGGAGAGCGGGTATAGAGAGAGAAAAGTTTCAAGAAGACACTCCTGGGAGGGAAACTGTAGAGGCCATAATAGCCGAGGCACGACATTTCTTGTAGTACATGAGGCATCGGAGGAACCGGGGGGTCAGATGTACCCAATAGTTGACTTTTTCTTTGCATTTTGATTTGAACTTTATGAACAATGTACAATTTTCATTTTGACTTAATATATAATATTTTGATTGAATTAAATACGTATTTGGTTTGATTGATTTATATTTGGTATTTTGTGATCAATGTATGGTTTGATTGAATTATATAAGTTTAAAAATGTGTTTAAAAATATCATGAATTTAAAAATGTGTCCAAGAGTTAATCAGAAACTTAACCTATAGACTCACTGATTCAACAATACAGATGTTATCTTTCGTATTATTTTAAAAAAAATGGAGGTGACTCACTTAATAAATATTTTGATGTGTCTAGAAGATGTCCAGAGGATAACTTTGTT